TTCACTGTGCAGTCAGAGAAATAAAGAAGCTACAAATTTCCCCCACAGAGGGAATGATGCAGCAAGCAACCCCTCATGGCTTTAAGAAACCAGCCTACAGCAGCTCCCAAAAGGAGATGTGGAAGCAGAGCACTATTGCTAAAACCCCTCTGGGTCTAGGACATCCCATCCCACAGATGCAGAGGTGGTTCTGCTCTCTGTCTGCCCTGGCTGTGGAGCCTGCAGCTCCAGTTTGCACTGGCATAGTAAGGAGGAGGCTCTCGATCTCTTGTGCCCCACAGCACCTCCCTCTCTGAATCTCCGATCCAGGCCAGAGAGCCACAGCAAACACAGGGAGGGAGGGAGAGCTGCCCTTCCACAGACCAGCGCAGCATCCTTGCTACAGCTCTGGCTGGCATGAGTGGGGCACCGCGGGGTGACATGCAGTGCCACGCTCCCGCATTCAGGACTGTAATGACTCAAGGAGTGGATGGGCAAATGGAACTCTGCCCTGCTGAGCTGCCAACAAGGCTGAAGCCAGCTTTTGTGCTAGATCCAAAGAAGGAAAACAATCTTAAAATTCAGTCTTCTGGGAAAGGTGTCCCTGGGCTCCATGTCAAGGCCAGAGGATATTCACACTGTCCCTTTGGTCCGCAAACCTGCAGTCTCCATGTCAGAGAGCAAAGGAGCCTTGTGAAAGTCCTGCACGACTCCAGGAAAGCAGCAGTAAGGAAGGAACATCCCTTGGACATCCCTTTCTGGGCTGCTGGGCAGGGGAACATCAGTCCTGTGCTTTACTCTTACTTTTCTGCTTCCATATTCTGGGCAAGCGGAACTTGTTCTTCTTCTCTGGCTCCTCTGGCTCAAGAGATCCATCTGCAGGAGAAGGAGCAGGCACAGAGCAAGTTGAGACCCACAGCCCCAGTGCCACCCACTGCTGCTCTGTAAGAGTAGAAAGAGCCCTTACCCAACCTCTGGATCATGTCTGCCAACACCTTGTCCTCCTCTAGTTCTCTGTAATGGAACAGCATGGCATTAGAAGACTTTGTTGTGTTTCATGACAAGATGGTAGACATCAAAAAACATGCAAAGGCTTCTGTTATTTCCCGAGTCAGAAATGACCAATCTCTATCGCACATTCCAAGAAGAGCACAGGAAAAAAACCCCAACAGTTAGAGGAGTCCTAGATGTTTGCAAATGGCATCTGGTTCCCTTGAGAACAAGGACCTGTGTGGGGATTTCCAGACTATGGCAGCCCAGCACTGCAGCAGGGAGGCCCTTCCCCTAGCTGGCCTATGAATCATCTGAGTTCATGGAGTCGTAAGACAGCACCACACCCGAGGAGATGAATAAAGGTTGAGACACCAGTAGCTTGGGGTGCTGCAGAGGTGCTCCCATCGCCGTCACAAACACGCTGCTACCTTCTCGTGCCTGGACAAGGCCAGAGCCAAAAGCCTGGGCATTACTAGAATCTTCGAGCTGGAGCTGGTGCCCTGAGGTCAAGGAACAGAGGCTGCTCTCACCAACAGGAGGCACAAATCCAGCTACTTGACACAGCAGTCTCTTCCTTCAAACTTGGGAGAATCCAACTCTTGACTACAGTTGTTCTTTCACTTGCTGCAGCAGATGAACACGCTCCTGGCTTCATGTTCCCAGAGTCCTCCTGCAGCTCCCATGCTGCCTCCATCCTCCTCATCTCCAGCCTCTCCCTCTCTTCCCCCTGCCTTCTACATTTTCATAGCCCTTGTCCTCAGAGCAGCATTAGTTTGACAGAGCACTGAACATGGCTGTGGTCCTGATCTCAGCTTCTAATAGCTGCCAAGAAAGCAATGGCAGTGGCATATAGGACAAGATGGTTGATGACAGGTCACCACCCACCTCATGGAGCAGAAGTCTGGATTACAGCCATTGATTCACTTCTACAGCCTGGGCAGCGGAGGAATTACAATGGAAATCATCCCTGGTGTTGGCTCATCTCCCACCACCCGAGGGCCCTCACCTGAGTCTGTCCTCATCCAGGCACTCCACAATACTGTTCCGATCATTGACTGTGTTCACGTACGACTCCAGCAGCTCCTTCTCTCGCTCCTTCTCCCTTGGTGTCTTCAATTCCTCTGCACAAGACAAGGGAAGCCCATCTCATAGCTACAGCTGAGCACCTTCCCGCTGTGGCTCCTGCGTCCACCCTGCTCCAGCAAGTCCCTCTCACAGGGCCCAATTTTACTATCCTCACGCTCAGGGGCACATCTTACATCCCTCAGACCGCAGGGGTGGGTTGGATGTTAGAGGGAGTCTGCTCCTGACAGCTCAACAGCACGGCAGTCAGAAGAGATGCCCCAGTGAAACTGCCATCCTTGGCACTGTCACTCAGATCCAGAGGACATCCCGGGCCTGGTGTGCAGAGCAGAGGGCTCCGCACAGCCAGGGGCCAGCAGGGCTCCCAGTGCAGCCGGTCCTTACCTGGCTTGCTCAGGAGGTGTCGCAGCTCTGTCTCTATGTTCCACTGCTGCTCCTCCAGCTCCTGCTGTTTCATCCTGCAAGGAACCACAGAAGAGATGAGTTACTGCCCCTCGGCGCACCAGGGCTGGACCCTTCTCATTTCATGCTAAAGCCTCATCTCTGCATGGCCAACCACCTGGGTAGGAGCTGGTGGGTTGGGGAAAATCTTCCTCCATCACATTTGTGAGGTTTCCCTCCCCACAAGCTCATCACAGACCCTGGGTGCTCATCAGTGCTCATCGTTAGCCCATCAGCTAACACATCAGGATGCTGGCAGTTCTCCCAGAGACATCCTCAAGCTCTCCTCATCCCACCAGTTGGCACATTATTTTTTTGAGCTGCCACGCTCCCTCTCCTTCATTGCTTACTGCTCACAGGTGAGATGCACAAGCAGATGAGTGACTTTCTGGTTGTACTTACTTGTACATCAGCTCCGATTCCTGTCTGAGCAGCAGTTGTTTCTCATGGATCAGTTTGAACCAATCCACCATGAGGGCATCCTCTGACTCGTCTGCAAAGGAGACAAAGACAACTCATCTTCCCTGTGGCCACTACAACTCTGCCATTCTGAATGAACCCACTAAGCCCTGCGAATTTGGAGCCAGCCATGACCACCAGTCTGGCTTGGGATCCAAAAGCCAGATCAATAGCAGCCTTCCACTCCCCAAACTCCCTGATCCTCAGCCAAATAAACACAAGACCTTGCTCAAACGACAGGTTAGGAAACAGCCAGAGAGGGTTCAAAATTCCCAGGGCTTTATCTTGCTATACCAGGTATCTTTGGCAACCTGGTGTCTCACATGTAGTGTGAGATCCTGGAAATGAAGCCAAGAATGCCCGAGGTAGGACATGAGCCTCACACCTTCCCACTGGTCTCCTTTACCTCCCTCACAGCCACGCAGCTGCTTCTCCAGATCCACTCCTTTCAATTCCAGCTCATCCAGCTGCTTCTCGATGTCTCGCACCTTCTTCTGGATTTCCTCCTCCGGGAGGTAGTCTGGGTGCAGCTAGGAAAACAAACGTAGGACCAAATACAGCTCAGTGCCCTCAGACTGCCTGCTGAGGTCACAGCCTCAACAGAGACGAGAAATGACGTAAGGAGCCCAACTGCAGAGCCATGTCCTGGAAGGGCCAAGTCAGCAGAGATGCAGAGCTGGCTGCTCATAACAGCAGCATTGCCACTGAAGTGTTACAGCACTGTGATACATCCGCTGTGAGCGATAATATATACCCACGCTCGTCAATCCACAAACATTTCCCCTCCTTTTTTGGGGGACACAATGTCTACTACAATTTTGTTTGGCTCTGTCTTATTCCAGTTTCTATTGTCCCCCTGCAGGGGAGATAACTGACAGTCTCTCCATCTTATCTCTGCCCCAGAGCCTTTCATGATTTCCCTGAGAATTCAAATAAACCCTCTCAATGAGACAAACGGATATATCTCATGTAGCACTCCAGCAGAATACCCAGCAACCCCAGCCTGTGCCCATCACACCTGGTTTGCAGCCATACCTTGGTTGGGGACACTGCTTCAGTGCTCTGGATGCTTTTTGGAATCAAGGGTTTAACTAGAAGGGGGAAAAAAAAAAACCAACACAACAATAAAACACCACAACAAACTTTAAATTTTGTGGTGTAGGACAGTGCCTACATCACCAGAGAGCTCGACAGGTCTCTGCCACCCAAGAGAGGGCACTGATGACACGCATGCATCAGCACATCAGACTAGGGTGAGAGATGTGTCTGCAGGAATCAGCACAGCCCGATTTACTCCTCATGGCTGGACACTCACATAACCCTCCGGTCACAGGGTGAGGCTTGCATCCCCAGGGTGTAGGCAGTCGTCACCTAACTCAGGTGTGACTTGGGAATTTGCACCCAAGAATATTGACTTCCATGTTCATTCATTAGCTTGTTAAAGCTCAAAGGTATTTATTGTGCCAAAAGCCACCCCCTTACTAAGCTTACAAAGTATAAATCAGAAATATTGGGTTACTGTCACAGGAAACACCAAGATATACTTAAAAATGCCCCTCTAATGCTCTTGTACAAAGAAGTATCAGTAAATACTGATGAAACAAAAATGGTCTAGAGGACCTTAGCATAGGTCTCAGGAAACTAAGGTTCAATTCCTTCCACAAAACACTTCCTAGGTGAGAAGTCCCTTAGGCCCCACTACACAGCACTATTTAAGCCCTGGACACCTATTAAATTCAATCCTTGTGCAATGTGTGTTTGTTCCACTGTGCCTCAGCTTCCTCTGCCCAACTGTGCTGCAAGGATAACTACAGAAGAGTGTGAGGTATTTGGATACCCGAGGGGCTGGGCTGGATAATTACCACAGAGAGAGAACGGCGGCGTACGTGGATGATGTGACAGGAAGGAGAACTCCAGCATCAAAAGAGCGGGGCTGTAAGAAAGGCAGCAGCGGTGCAGGCTCAGCACTCACAAGGAGAAAGACAGGACAGACCGACTGCAGGAGCCTCCTGAGAGTCTCTGGCAACCAGTGTGGATTTGAGGAAGAGCTCAAGGACAGCTCTCCAACTGCCCAGCCCTTGCTCTATTGCCTTTTCTAGGAAGAGTGCAAAAGGAGAAGAAGCTGGATGAAGGTATCAGCTGTGCTGTCCCTGCACTGCTGGCCTCCGTCACGTTCCTCTTCCCGCTGGATGCTGCTGGTTTGCTGCTCCGTACGCTACCTGTAACTTGCACTTCTCTTAAAGGTTCCTCCAAGAGGGACCTGGCCTGCCACCGGCAGCCTGCTCTGCTGCCCGAGTAACACCTCCCTCTCCCAGCTCAGCCCTGCATCCCCAGGGTCCTTCTGGCTGATCTCTGCAGCATCTCCAACCAAGGCAGAAAGCTGCTCCACTGATCAGGAAAAGGCCAAGGTCACTGGAGGGGAACAGCTAGTAAAACGACACGCTCCTGATCAGCTCAGGGTCTGATATCCCCTGATACCCTCAAGTTCTGTCTTGACAGACACAAGATGGGCTGGCTGCTTGCCTGCAAACTGGAAGTAGGACAGTTGGCAAGAAAACCCTGAAGCCTCCTTTCTCAACAGAAAACACTACCTATGCCAAAGAAAACTAATGATTCACAGAAATGCTCAGCATCCACGGCCCCATGCAACACACACAGGCTCAAGGGCTGGAATGGGAGCTGACTGTTCACAGCATCTCTCTGAGTGCTGAGGTAAAGACCTATGGAGTGGAGCAACAAGTCTGTCCTTAATCCACAGGCTGCCACGTGACAGCAGCAAGAGAAGAGCCTTTCAGATGGCAGACTTGCACACACATAAAAAACGGGGGGAGACTGCTGGGACAGTTTCCCATAGCAGGAACTCCCCAAGAGCAATCATTAAGCTTTAGAAAGATGGATATAAACCCAGTCTCCATTATCTTAACAGTTCATTTCCTGAGAAAAATGTAATGCTGAACCTGTGGCTGAATCTGAGGAAAAAGGAGGTGGAAAGTTTTGGGAAAACGATGACAGTGGAGGCACGCTAAACTTTAAAAATAGACAACACAATTGGAGTTTGACTGCTTCGTAGCTGTCAGAGGTGCAGGCTGAGGACAATGCTGAAACCAGCTAACCAATACTAAAGCATGAGGCCACCAAGCCACTGGGACACATCCTGCTTGCTCTGAGACAAACATCGAAGTCAGGGCTGAGCCCTGCTGTGAGGACTTTCTAGTCCAAACAGATAAGACAGATCCAGATGGGGTAAAGGAAAGGGGAAAACAAACAAACTGAGCAAACAAGACAGCAGCAAACATCAGTTTAGCTACAAGAACTTCCATTTGCATTGTGGTGGGATATGTAAGAGCAAGGACAACTGGGCAAAGGAGGAAAGGTACCACAGTAAAGCTGTGATGGAACACACAAGAGTAAGAAACTGGATTAAGGGTAGGGACAAACTAGTCAGAACTGGTCAGGACATCTTTGAAAGTCCAAGAAGCAGCAGTGTTGGCTGCTGCTACTGTGAGTCCTGCCAGCTGGAGTTTCTGGCTGACAGTTCTCTGCATTCCTTTCACTTCCCAAAGCCACTCAACTAGAGAGGAACAGAGACATCAACTAGATCTCAGTTCCCCGAATGAGGAGATGGTCCTCTTCATAGCTTTGAGTCTAAAGAATGACAGAGCAGTGACCTTGACAAATCTCTATTTTCATTTCTTCCCTTCCCACTGAATTCTCAGGCCTGGCTGGTTCCCACTTAGGACAAGCTGGCTAATAAAAATTAATGACACAGATTTTTCCCCCATGACAACAGCCACAGAAAACTTGGGGCACATCTCCCATCCTGACCACTCAGGCTGTCCCCTGGCAGTGCAGAGGAGAGAGTGGCTTTAAGCAGACAGAAGAGACCTTACATGTGATAGTGTTTTTCTTCAACTGTTTGCCCTCTTCCTCCTTCTCAGCAGAGCCCCCAGGGTCTTCCCAGCTTTGCTTTGAATTCTGGAAGCTCCTGATAAGATCCGAGCTGGGGATCAACTTCTTCTTCGTGAATCCACCAGACGAAGCTGGATTAAGAAGCACAGACAGGTTTCGGGTAAGAAATTTCAACCCTCATCTCATAAAAATCCCTTTATTGCCCAGTGTCTCTGGCACTCACCACTAGCCACCTTCATTTCTAGTCCTAGTTCTCTTTTCTTGATGATAGCGAGGGGCACAAGCCCAAAGGAAACAGGGAGAAACCACTGATTATAAGACCAGAGTATGAGAGAAAGGTGAAGGAGAAGAATAAACTGCTGGGAACCATCATACATTTATGCAAGAGAGTGAGCAAAATCTTGCTAGCTGTCTTGCTAGGGCAAGACGGGCACCCTGTGAAGACCAAGTCCCTCTCCTTGGGGAAGGATGGCTCTCCAAATAAAGGCACCACAGGGCCAAAGCAGGTGCAGAGAGCAAAAATCCCTGAAAGCAAGGCACAATTTCCACCAACATGTTCCTCACATGTGCCTTGCATCACTAATGCCTGTCCCCTGCCTGACAAGCAAAATGAAGGCAAAGCTTATATCCTTCATACCAGAGTCCTGCTTTGCTGATGGGACAACTAATGGACTTGGCTTTGTCTCCTTGTGTGCTGGGCTCCCTGTTCCCACCTGGGAGTTATCAGTAGGTTTCTTAGAGCCACCTTGGTCTCTGCAAAGAAGAAAGACAAAGGTAGGAAACCATCCCTCTTGCAGAATGGTTCACAGGATGTGTTCTGGAGATCCTGGGCGGGATCTTCATCCCAGACGGTCACACTTTGTTCTAATCAGAGTCCAGCAATTTGAAATACGCTTTCCCTCCCCAGAAATGAAAGCCTTTGCCTCTTCCATCAAATTGTTGAAAACAAAAGCATTAAAACACAGGAGGTCTTCCCTCCTACATGCCCACAAACCTGCAGCAACAAACACAGCTGCAGACATGGACATCCCCATTCACTTGCCATGGACATCCATCGGCTCCAAGACACTCACTTGTTGGCTACAGGCTTCAACAGAGATCTCCACTCTGCTGGGCTCTCAGACTTATCTTCACCAACATTCGTGCTTCCTAAAGAAAGGGACATAGCAAGATAATATCAGATCCAATAAAAAGAAACAAGCCAGATTTGAGTCTAAGGAGGATTTTAGGAGATAAGCCATGCACTGGAGTAGATACTATGATGTTATTGCACCAAACCAGCACCAGTTCAACAAGTTTGACATGGACAGATTGACATACAATAGGTAGTAAATAATCTTGGTGGCATTTTGCCCCTTTAAATTCTAGGCAGATACAGAAACACAGCCACAGTGTGAATGAACAGGCATGTTCAACAGCAATATAACACAAACAGCTCAGACCTCAGAGACCAAAGGATGGGGCAGGAAGGATGGGGAGACAAAACACCCACAAGCTCACAGCAAACTGCAGACAGATAATCCTTCTGGCCAAAAAAACAAGACAGGCCATATGGAAGTGGTTGAGACACTGGGTACCCCCACAACATCATCCCTCAGCCCACTGCTCAGTCACCATGGTGGAAGCTCAGCTCAAAACAGACAAGGAGGCTGGGTGAGCCCCAACTGCAATCACAAAATCATCCTCAAGTTCTGGTAAGGTCTCCCATCCGGGGAAGTCTACCTAAGCCTCTGAAATCCATCATGATCCCAACATTTGATGACAGCTCATACAACTTCAAATACCTGGAGATCCTCAGAGAAGAAAAATTCACCATGCTAGAGGGAGCAATTGCACAGGGACAAATGGAGGTGTGTTGAGCCTCAGAACTCAGAAAACCCTTATGTGGTGGTACAGACAAAGGACAGGAGTCACTGACAGATTCATTGTACTGGTCCAAGAGAAAAACATAAAGTTGGCATGCCGTGTCCAGGCAGAGCTGTATGAGAATCAGTCATGCTCACCTTTGATGTCCTTCGACTCTGGCTTGCGCATAGAGTCAACAGGTTTGCTGGCAGCCTGGTTCTTGGGCACAGGGTCTGTAATCTTTTCCTGTTTTTGTGCTGTGTACGCTGTTTTGCTGGACTGCGCTTTTGAAGCTGGACTCTGCCACCGAGAACTGGTGGGAGAAAACTTGCCACTGCAAAAAAGAACAACCTAGTGAGTCTTTTTGAAAGGATGGAACTTTTTATTGGTCTCTGTTCCAAAGACTTGGATGAGTCCCTCGACATGTCTTTAAATCTCAGCCACAAAAGCAGTCAGGGAAGAGGGGAACTTCTCCAAATTATCCTAAGGATCATCTTGGGACTAAAAAGGGAA